ACACACCCCAATGAGTCATCACCAACACAGTTAGATACAGACATACCCACACCCACACCTACGCATACACATACGCACACCGATGGGGCTGTGGCCTCTGATGCAGCGGCTCCTATGGACGGGATAAGTGCGGGTGACGAAGTGACGGCGGATGGTCACGACTGTGTTGTCAAGGGTGGTGCTACGCTGTTGAACCTGCGCATCTTTGGGCGAATGATGATCAGAGACTTCACGCGCATGCGACAGGCCCTGACGGCTATGTGCGGGTACGCCAACTATCGCGTGTCGTGTTGTGCGTGTCTTTTATCGTATGCTGATTATCGCGTGTCGTATTGTGCGTGTCTTTTATCGTATGCTGATTATCGCGTGTCGTGTTGTGCATGTCTTTTGTCGTATGCTGATTATCGCGTGTCGTATTGTGCATGTCTTTTATCGCATGCTGATTATCGCGTGTCGTATGATGGATATCGTCTGTCGCATGCTGGCTGTCGTTTTACTACATCTACTCTCACCTAACAATTAACCAGCGCTCTCACACCTCACTCTGCTCCTCATGTGTGTGTGTGTGCAGGTCTCAGAACGAGGACAAGGCCTCCATTCAAACAATGATCTCCAAACTGTTTGTGCAGATGGCTGTGCAGTACTGTACGCTGTCGCTCGACAACTCAGTCCCCGACACCGTACGCGTGGCTGCAGGTGAAGTGATGTTAAGTAGTGTGATATGATGTCATGTCATGTCATGGGATGGGATGTGGTTTGGTGTGGTGTGGTGTGGTGTGGTGTGGTTCTCCAGAGCCATAGCTTGAAGTGTTATATTTGGTTTAATATATTGGCTAGTGTTTAGGGTTTTGGGGTCCAGGTTTTCTTATGTATTGATTAGTGTTAAAGCTTGGGTTTGTCTCCGTTGGTGTGCTGGGAAGGTGTTGATCAGCGAGTGTTATCACTTCAATTATTGTCTTTGTGGTGTTTTGAGGTGCAGAGGTTTAGGGCTAGTGTCTAGGGTTTATTGTTATGTCGGTGGGTTGGAGTGACTAGTGACTCACAGACCCTTTGCTGCCGTTTTACGCAATGGGATTCCTTCGCTGTTTTCGTATCGTCTCTATTACGTCTACTTCACTTCTCTTTCATTCCGTTCTCATTCCGTTCACTTCCTACTCATTCCGTTCTCATAAAGCTCTGTGCATCAGCTGCGCTCACCTGTGTTTGTATAGATGTGGATGTGTGTCTGCATGGTTTCGCACAAACGCTCGGATCATTTAGCGTTTCTAAAACTTACAAACCCCATTTACAAACCCCATTTACAAACCCCATTTATAAACCCCGTTTACAAACCCCATCACAAACCCCATTTACAAACCTCATTTATAAACCATATTCACAATCAGTATGGTTGTTCTTCCACTCCTCTGCGGGTCATGTTGTGGTCTGTTGTTGTGACTCATTTCTCCTCCGAATGCGTTGCACTGAGCAGAAGACATTCGTACGCAACCGCTGAGCGATGACATCATTGCGCACGGACTAGTCAAGGCACGCGAAGCCAATGCAAGAATACTGGAAAGGTATGTGGCAACACCCACTAAACTCTAAACCCTAAACCCTATACTTGTATTATTACTTGTATTTATACTCTTATCATTACTTGTATTATTACTTGTATTTATACTCTTATCATTACTTGTATTATTACTTGTATTTATACTCTTATCATTACTTGTATTATTACTTGTATTTATACTCTTATCATTACTTGTATTATTACTTGTATTTATACTCTTATCATTACTTGTATTATTACTTGTATTTATACTCTTATCATTACTTGTATTATTACTTGTATTAGTACTTGTATTTATACTCTTATCATTACTTGTATTCATACTTGTATTCATACTTGTTTTATACTTGTATTATTACTTGTATTTATACTCTTATCGTTACTTGTATTTATACTTGTTTTATTACTTGTATTTATACTTGTACTATTACTTGTATTTTTATACTTGTGTTTATAGTTGTATTATTACTTGTATTTATACTCTTATTACTTGTATTTATATTTTTGGTTATACTTGTATTATAACTTGTATGTATACTCTTATCATTACTTGTATTGTTACTTGTATTTACACTTGTATTATTACTTGTATTTATACTTGTATTAGTATTATTACTTGTATTTATACCTGTATTATTACTTGTATTATTTCTTATATTTATGTTGTGGATTTATGCTTGTATCATTACTTGCATGCATCTTTGTATTCATGCTTGTATTGGTTGTGCTGGTTGACTCTGCCATTCCCAGCTCCTTTGCTGGCACCATCTGCGCATGTTGTACTTGTATATCATGTGCACATACATTGCATTGGGAAACCTAGCGTATGGTATATATCTTATCGCCCATTGTCATGCGTTGTGCTTCATGCTTTGCATCCGAGGTACCTTTTCGCTCACACTATTCTTCTGAAATTCCTACCACCATACTAAACCCTAAAACCCTGAAAGCACTACGCTACTCCTAAATATACCACTCCTCTGCTCAATTTTTTCTTCTGAATATATTTTCACTCTACTGACCTTTTAAACTAATGGGAAATTAGTGGCTACTAGTTCATTCACTATGTCTGTAAACACCACCACTTCACTCATACTATTGTTCTGAATATACTTTCACTCTGCCGACCTTTTAAACTAATGGGATATTAGTGGCTATTAGTTCATTCACTATGTCTGCATACACCATCACTTCGCTCATACTATTGTTTTGAATATAATTTTAAACAAATGGGATATTAGTGGCTATTAGTTGATTGATGCGGCCCACTAATTGCTCTTCTGTACTACTCCCACAGTTATCGTGAGTTGCTTAATACCCTTGTGCTACTCCTCCGTGGTGGTACGCTTCATTGGCGATACGAGCTGGTAGGGTTTTGGAGTTTGAGGGTTTTATGGCTTTAGGGTTAATAGTTCTAGTCAATCAGATTTGTGGCTGTGCATCTACATTGTATGCAGTTTGGGGTTTAGGACTGAGTATGTTTGTGTTATTCTGCCCTCATTACAGACCAGGTGTTAATTTACAGTTTCGGTGTTAGTGTGTTTGTATTCATCTGTCGACATTACCGGCCAAGCATTACTTTAGGGTTTAGGGTTCTTCATGTTTGTATTCATTCCTCCTCATTACCTACCATATTCCCTACTCGGCGTCTCCCATATTTGGCAGATCATGTTACCTTAAGGTTTAGGGATCTGCATGTTTCTATTCATTCCCCCTCATTACCTACCATATTCCCTACTCGTCGTCTCCCTTATTTGGCAGATCATGTCGTCGTGTCTGGTGATGCTGTTGCGCACAGATGAGCAGCCGCCAGTGGATGTGGTAGAGTGGTACTTGGATGGTTGCATCAGTGACATGATTGTTCTGAGACGCGTGGCCCTTAATGCGCTGGAGGTGTGTCTTTGATTATCTTACGCACACTCTGATGCGTTGTATGATGCGTTGTGTGTGTGCTTGGGTTGGCAGGGTCCTTTACCACGTACCAGTGCGTGGATGTCGACTGATATATATATTTAT